GTGCGCGTCTGTCCGTCCGCTCCGCGTCTGTCCGGCTCCTCCGCGGACCGCGCGTCTGCACGCCGTCGGCGCGCACCTGGTCCCCGCTCCCGGCGCAGGCCCCTGTCCGTCCGTCCGTCCGTCCGTCCGTCCGTCCGTCCTTGCCCCTGCGCGGAGCGGCGGCCCTGGGCTGGACGCTCGCTGGGAACCGGGGCCGGTGCAGCCGCCCCGCCGGACCCCACCCCGGGTGTTCGGGCCTGGCGGGTCCCCTCCCTGGCGGGTCCCCGCCCGCGGACTTTCCCGAGAGTTCCCGGGCGCGCCGCTCGTCCTAGGCCGTGCGCGCGGAGCCGGGGGCGCCGGCGGACCCTAGGGCCTTCTTTCTGTGCTTTCCGCGGCTGCGCTTTCCCCGCTCTCCTTCGCCCTCACCTTCCCGCTAACCCACGCCCGAAGCGCGCTGGCACCCGCCGTCCCGGTCCTCCGCTCCGCTGCGGCCGCGCAGCCCGGCCCGCCTGGCCGCCCGCGTCCACTCGCTGGCCCTGCATCTGATCTCACTCTCTTCTCGGCATAAGTTAGTGTCCTTGGTGTGAAGTGCTCCCGGGAGCACCCTGCGCCCCCCAGGTTAGAGTACTGTGCGCGCCTCCCCAGGTTAGGGTACTGCCTGCCCCAGGGAAGCGGAGCTGGGGCAGTGTGTCAGCCCGCGGGCCCTTCGCACCTCCGACCCCAGCCGGCAGGCGCTGGGGAGCCCTAACGAGCTCTGGGACTTGTTTCCTCCCAGGGCGTGCCAAGTGCTTGTGAGTTATCTCCGAGCGGGGCCCACGCCCTCCACTCGTGTCTCCGGGCTTCCAGTGTCGCCAGCCTGTCCGCTGCCTCCTCGCCGCAGCCCTGGCCGGGAGGCAGCGCCGGCCGGAGACCTCGTCCTCTCGCCTCTCCTCTCCGGCTGCTGCAGCTGCCGCTGAGACTCGCCGTGGCCGCTGCCTCTTCCCGCTTTAATCCCAGACCTCCAGTCATTGGGCAGCTCCTCAGAGGCAAGAAGTCAACACCATGGCAACCCGACAAGCCTATCAAATCACCGGCTGGCGTGACAGCGGGAGCACCGCAGGCGGGAGTGGGCTGGGCGGGAGAGCAGAGTGGCCACTGCGTTCAGGTACCCAGTCTGGGAGTGGACAGCAGCTGCCGGCCTCCACATCTGGCGACGCATCTGTGCACACTCAGCTCCTCTTCGCCCTGGCCCCTAGATGCCCTAGCCGTTCTGGAGGAGGAAGGGGAAGAGGAGAACCGGAGAGGCTTACAGGGTCGGGAAGGCTGCGTAAAACTTCCAAACTAAAAGGAATCGAAGTCCTAGAAACTGTAAACTGAAGATGCCTGTGCCCCAGCGCCTCCCTCCCCCGTGAAATCCTGTCTGGGTAGCCCGAGAACCCAAAGTGTACGTGTCCTTGCCAGTTCTGCCCTTTCCTTAAGCAGCATTCACGTTCCATCCTCTTCTGGAGTTTAAAAAGGATAAGGCATTTTTAAATTGTATTGTCTACCAGTGTTCTATTCTGCAAAAATACAGCTCCGCTTCAAGTCGATCGACTGTCCCGGAAGTGACCTACATTTTACCTGGAACTGTCTTCACCTCTTTCTTTCACACCCACTAAGTGTGGGCTGTCCCGTGCGTTCTAGACCTTGATGCCTTAAAGGGAGAGACACAGCAGCCTGGAAAGTGTCTGGGTTCCTCTAAGGCCTACCTGGCCCTTGCATTTCCTCACTGTCCTTAAGAAACTCTGAATTAGGCAGAAGGAGGAGAAAGGAATTTCATTAACATTTTAGAGCATTGTGGCAATTACCATGAGACAGACTGGAACTGCTTGTTCTTTTCTGATTTTAAGAGAGATGTTTTTGAGCAAGACACAGCATATTACTTATTAACTTAAATTTTTATCATGAAACCTTGGACAAATGTCTGTGTAAGAGAGTAGAGTGCTATCACTGATCATATTTCCCTCTCATATGTTACCTCATCACTGATTTCTAAATTTTATAATGCCAGTTGGGGATAGAACAAGAAGAGAAATCGTGTCATAGTGAAGTGACTGTGTCTTATCGAGGAAAGCTCATATGAATTCCAAAATCTACACTTCAGTCCACTTCACATAAACACAAGTCATTAAGTAAACATTTTTTTATATCTGTCCAACACTTTTATGAAGAGGCTTCCATGTGTATTTAAATTATACTTGGCATCCATAAAATACTAGAGAACTGGAAGGCTCCCCAAAACAGCAATCCTCATATTGAGTAGAGCAGGACGGAGAGCCAAGTTTTGAGTCTGCAAAGAGAAATTCAACGAAATTTTGAACTTCATTTTCTTACTTTCTCTGTATTCCACTGGTGATGGATCCTACTATGAAAACACTACATTTTCAAAGTCTAACTCATTACAGATGAAAAGCATATAATAAATGACACTGGACAAACAGATCATGATATGCTAGTGACAACTAGGACCTAATGAGCTTCTCCTTGTGTTCCTCTTCTAGTAACGTTCTGGTAACATTTTCTCAGCCTGTGCCACTGTGCACGGTTGACCCTGGAGCAGCCGCCAGTCACATAGGGCAGAAACTTGGGTGTAGCGTAAGTGGCTCCTCACTGCAAGTTACTGACACTCAGGCGTCTTTGGCAACTTCACATTACGTTTGACACAGACTAATGCGAAACATGAGGAAACAGAATACTACAATTTTAAATTAAAATGCTTATGTCTAATCTGTTATCTCCTGGAGCCAAGCCTGTACATGTAAAATGTTTCTAAAGAGGAGCCAAATGAATTGTTCAAACAATTTCAGTACAGTTGGCTTTTGAAAAAATAAGTGTACTTGGGCAATAGAATAACTTTAACAGTTTGTTCTTTTGCTCAGCAGTGTGTCTTCAGTTACTGGGGTGCTTTAAATACTTCAGGATCTATGATATTATTTTTGTATATTGATAACATGCTAGTCACAGACATGCATACTGTCATTAAATGTTCATCTGTATGTAATATTTCTAATTTAAAAAGTTTAAATTGGATGAAGTTATCAAATAAATACCTTTAAAGCAAAACAAATATCTCAGTATTGTAATAGCTCCTTTGAACTGTTTAGTAATTACCATTAATTGTTTATTATAAACCTGTTATTTACAGATGATTAAAAATTTAAAAAATTTTGCATTCATAATACAGATGTTTACTTTTAATCATCAATTAATTTAAAAAATATCCTCATAGATGATACAAATCTGGCCATGTATTTAAATGCAGATTCATCTGCATACCAGAACATGTTGCTAGTTAGCTCCACATTCAAATCTTTACAATTTGATGCTATTTTTTACGTTTAGTGTGTTGAACATGTATGCTCTTGGAAGGAGGAAATTTCTTTCTAGCTAAGGAAGAGGACAGTGAAATTAAATATAGTTTAAATGCTACATTTAAAAGAATCAATGCGGGAATGCCTTGTTCATGTGTAGAAGGATGGAGACCATCTCCATAGACTGCATTCTCGACCTTACCTGAGTAAGTACTTTCACTTAAAGTATGAGGCACACCTACAGGGGTAATACATTGCGCTTAATAGGAAGACAGTTAATAACCTTTTTTCATCCTTGCGCACTATCAATCATGACTGTCACCAGTCTGCTGAATCAAAGCAAAAGTGTTCTTCACAGATGACTGATTAGAAACGCAAAATCACAAGATCCATCTTCATGGTCACTTTTATTATAGTCATTTTTAAACTGACAGCAACCTGCTCAGTCTCAGCACACTGGGCATCACAAATAGTGTCACTGAGTGCAGCTGAGCATGAGAGGAGGTTGGCTGGATTATACTTAAAAATAATTAGGCCCTCAACCCTTTGTGGAGCCCGGAAAAGCGTATTCCTCTCCCCACCCTCCCTTCCCCCTCCATAGCTTGCTCTGATTCCAGAGCACCGTCAGTTTACCATTTTGAAGGGAAGAGAGTTAAGGTATAGTCTTCCCCTTGTTAATTGTTTAGGAATTAGGAATGAACGTGTCTACCTGAAAGTTACAGATAACTTTCTGTTTTCTGCTTTTTCATAGCCCTGTAATAAATAGCATGGCTTTCCTCCCACTTTAAATAGGGTGTCTTGTCTACACGGAAATCTGTGTCTTCAGTGAAAGATTTCAGGAGTCTAGGCAGCAGGTATTTGTGAGTGATGCTAGAAGGTTCTCTTTCTCTGTGGAAGGGACTTAACGGCATCACTAGAATATTGTAGCACTGGCATGGCTGAAGGTATAATTATTTAACTATATAGTATTAGAAGTGGCCAAGATATTAACTGCTAGGTAGCTATGTAAATTTTTGTCCTGTAATCCTATGTTATCCCCTTTTTAGTCCTAGAACACTGACATATGGCAAATTTGAAAACTAGGTAGAGATGTATAAAAATTTAATTGGAGACTTTCCGGTTATATTTGAATTAAATGGTGAGAAACTTTATTAGAAACAAAGTTGACATTTTCAGATTTATTTTATCATACTTCATACAGGCTTTGTAATACACAAGGTATATCTTTTCCTTGGGAATTTTTAAAATAAAAAGTTTTAAAATGTACTGTAATTTTCATGCTCATTTTATAAGCAGTTCATAGTTCATAGTTCTGAAAAGAAAAACCAAATGAATTTGTTTTAGTTGAGTATTTTTAACCAAAGTGCCTCATTTTAAGTATCCGTGTGCTTGTGTTTTCCTTTCATCTTGAGTGTTGACTTTCTTATTAGAGGTTGCACAGACACACATGCAGATTGGAAGAAAGTGAGAGAGACAGAGGAGGGTATAAAATTATTAGTATATTTTTATGTATAAGAGCACAGGACCTTCTTACTTAGTTTTAGACATGCTAATATTTGACCCTTAATACTCCCCAGAAAGTAACGGATTCCTCTTCCCCTCTCTTTTTCTCTCTCCCCCCCCCACATGCACAGTTTTAATTTTTATTTAGAATCACAAGAATACATATGTAAATATATAGTATGTCTATATTTTCTACAGGTAATAATAGAGGCATAATGTTACTCTCTATATAAATGCTGATATTCATTTCCTTAGTATCGTTCTCTGCTTATGCATATTTTCCTATAAATATAGTGATAGTACATAAAACAAATCTTGTTTAGCTATCTAGTTGAATTTGATATTTTAAGCTAAAAAAATTATCTGAAGAGTTTGGATAAGATATGTGTTAGTTGATTCTTTAAATATTTCTACATTATAAGAAATTAACAGTAATAAACATGCTGCTGCATATGTAAAATTGGGATTAAATAAAAGGCTTACATACTTTACATCTACAAAATAACATCTATAACAATGTAATAATCATCCCAGTGTGTAGATTTTCAGTTCAACAATAAAAGAAGAATGTCACAGCAAAATGGGGTGTGTGTGTGTGTGTGTGTGTTCAGTTTAGGCACATTAAATTCATTTTAAAAAGGATAATTTCTGAGAATTAAACATTATTTCTTTTAAAGTTAAATTTGATGTAGACTATTCTTTCTGACTAAATTATATTAATCAGAATATTTATGGAAATATTTGCTTAAAATTTTTGGGCTTTGTAGAATTTTTACTACTAAAACTAAAACTGTGAAGTGGTATACATTTGTTGACATTATGTTGGTAATCTGTAAAATAAATCATGAAAAATCTTTTATACTAGGTTTTCATATACATTATGTTGTAAACACAAACATTAATAAGGCTGATGACAATTACAGATGTAGAGTATGATTTATACTATGGATGGGTCTTAATTGGGAAAACAAAAGTTATTTTCTATTATATTTTAATTGAAACAAAACAATAAAAATTAATTTCTTTTAAAAGTTAGTATGAAGCTTTGATTCCTTAAGAATTTTATGTTTTAATATAATTCGAAACTAACATTCATTTCGATTTAAAATATTATTGTTTATTTAGAAAGTCTTTTAGTAAATATTTTAGCACCTTTACTTAACAGAAATATTTGACTCTTTTGTTAGTTTTGAAAACCTATCTTAATTTGTATTCATTATTTATACTTACAATTTCTTCACTGAGGAACATTCCATTTCGTCAGAATATAAAGCATACAATTTCAGTGTAAAATATTACATGATAAATGTATTATTAACATGAGATTTTTATGATTTAGTGGGTAGAAATTGCTTAATACATATAAGTACGTTTTAAATGAATAAAGCCTAAGGTTTTTGCATTCAGTTAGAGCTGGAATTTGTATTTGTGCATTGCAAGTACTGCCTATGTACTTGGACATACACAAAATTATACATAAGTACTGTCATATTTAGGTTATTGACTTCCTTTAAATGTTAAAACGCTGTCACATATAAATATTACAATTATCCTTGCCATACCTGCATTTATGCATCCTGAATATGCAGTTATAGCATTTCTCTTTCGTGGAGTATGATTTTCCCTTGGTACCTGAATTGTTCTTTGTTGAATCTTTGTGATAAAAAAAGGCTGTTATATGAGTGTCAGTTTGCAATAAATGTGTGAGAAGATGTACGGTCAGGATAGACTGGCCATCTTTTGCGTGTTTTTTTCTACCTGAGCTGCAGAGCTCCAGCTTCCAAGTAGTGATATTTAAAGAGGATAGGAAAGAAAGTAAAGGTCAAACAGAAATCACCTTTAACCTTTTGTAGTCAAAAGGAGAAAAATCTTGCAGTATTTATAATAATTTGTTATGTAATTTTATTTTAATTGCTTTCCTATGTTCATTTTCAAAATACTGCTA